TAGTGCACGTGCTGGGGTTTACGGTTTAACCATGTCCTGGATGTAGGAAGGGCCAGATCCATTCGCAGCATGGTAAGCAAGTACCAGTGTCTTGAAGTGGATTCTAGCAGTTACCGGAAGCCAGTGAAGGGAGCGGAGGAGCGGAGTGGTGTGGGAGAATTTAGGAAGGTTGAAGACCAGACGAGCCGCTGCATTCTGGATGAGCTGCAGAGGTCGGATGGCACATGCAGGTAGACCAGCCAGGAGGGAGTTGCAGTAGTCATACTTGTATAATATTAATATATTGCCCAACCCTACCTTTTCCAATGTTCAATGCAGTCACAATGCATCCCTGACCACTCCAGAAGTAGGTAGTTGCCGTTTGGGTGCATTTACATCTGAACGTTACATGTGGTCACATTTTTTCTGATTGCAATCTAAACACATTTAAATCAAAGCTCTAACTGAGGTACATGCTCCCTGCGAGAGTTCATCCTTCAGTGATAGATTAGAAAGTGGTCTGTAATGCATTTTAAAAGGCTGATCACAGAGCTGTCAGACCCAGAGGGAGAATCATAGAAACGCCAACAACAAACTGCCCCGCCTCGTCCTCCCTGAGGACTTTCTTTACCTCAAAGCTCTTAATATCATATTCTTATTGATGCACATGGCCCTGTGGTTGTTTTGCTGCAATGATTTTGGAGATGTGTCAAGGAGGAACAAGAGACAAACTTGTGCTGTTGATTATGTATCAGTGGAACGTTGCAGACTTCAGTAGTCTTTGGTAGAAAAGGACAAAATGCCAAAGAGAAGGTTTAATAACGTCCATTCACAAAATCATGATGAGCTCCAGGAATTAACACTCCAAATCCTGTTTGATAGAAGTAAATGTCCTATGTTTATGTGTTGTAAATACTTTTTAAATCCTGTAGTTGCAACCACAATATTTATCCTACTTCAAAACAGTGAAGGGGTTAAAAACGATCAGCCAACAAATTCCTTAGCAGTTGTAAAATCCCTGTGAATTACTGCCTTTCTTGGCAAGATATTTAAATCTGACAACACAAATAATGCTGTTTTGGTACTTGACAAGTTTGATACAGATATGTAACATGAATTAGTTTAATTGTATTATTTTTTGGATGCACAACTAAGTGTACCGAACATAACAAATCAAAATGTACCTTCATGGCTGCAATGCATATTGTTGCATAATGTCAGTCTGTTCACAGCAGATGCTAAACACTGACGTGAAAACAGTCGGAGCACAGCTTGTCTCAAGTGTGATAATTCTCCATGGTGAATCATAATAAGGAACATTTTAAGGCCCTAATTAAGTAGAAATGATCTTCCTCTTCATCTCTCGGCAGGTTTCCTTTAACAGTCAACAATAACACTGCTGTTTCTTTAGAAGGCCTGGTCTCTTCCTCTCTTCTTTCATCCCTGCGTGAAGATAAAAGCAGCGAGGAAAATAATGATCATAAACCGTTGAGTTTTATCTGTGAGAGTGGCCGGCCGGCTCCCCAGATGGGACGTTTGGATCCTGTCCCTGCTTGATGACATCAGCAGTGGGATTGCCAATAAAACGCGGAGTGGAGCTCTTTAAAAGGACTTGGTGCGGCCGGCAATGGAGGGCGGACATGAGTGTGTACACACACACACACACACACACACACACACACACACACAGTGGATAGTGTGCTGGACTTCAAATCAGGGGGTAGCAAGTTCGAGTCCCACTGCAGTCAGCATGTCGTTGTGTCCCTGGAGACACTTCACCCCAAATTGCTCCTGTGGGGATTGCCCACAGTATTGAGTATGTAAGTCGCTTTGGATAAAAGCGTCTAACAAATGACATGTAATGTAACAGACACATAAATAACAATGTACTTTTTTGAAATCTCTAAAAAAGGTTAAGGTCTCCTCATCACTCCACACAGATCTTATTCTTCGTTTTGTCACCCGCAAATCTTAATTTCTTCAGTTAACGTTGAAGTCACATGCTTTATGTAATCATGAGAATAATAATAACTGTATTCATTAAGCACCATTCGTGAAGGATGCAGCCCAAAGTGCTTAACTGAACCAGATGAAATGCACAAAAACACAACAATAACACAAGTAAAAAAAAAGGTTACCAAACCAAAAAGTGTTTGATCACAATACAACAAAACATGAACAATGAAACCAGTGAAATTAACCCAAATACATTTAATTTATGTACGTCGTGATTCATTTGCCCATTCTTTGCCAATTGCACTTTTTCTTGCAATATGCATCGTTTTCCCTCCAGAATCATTCTCTAGTCAGGATTCATTCCATTGCACTCAGCATGTATTCCTGTTTGTGTTAATACAATATAAGTGGATAGAAACTCAGCTATTGTCTTTCTGATCCGCTCTAATCCTTCTTACTAATATATCTCATGTGCTACATAGCCTCCTCATATGCAGGCCTACATCTACATCTGTTTGTCTACATTGTTCTCCTCTCCCTCTTCCTCTTCCTCCTCCTCCTCCTCCTCCTCCTCCTCCTCCTCCTCCTCCTCCTCCTCCTCCTCCTCCTCCTCCTCCTCCTCCTCCCTGCACCTGTTTCTCTCCCATGTTAACCTCCACAGTTTGACCTCAGGTGTATCACTGGCTGCACCATGTGTTATTGTTCCCTCTCTTACTCTGCGAGACGGTGCGAGTTCTCCATATATCAGTTGTTTGCATAAAGCTGCTCAGCCCTGACAGATTGTGTTGATGAATCCGCCTCCGTCTGCTTTTCTCTGCGGCGCTGCTTTGCCTGAATGCTGTCTGCGAGTTGTATTACTCCCCATGTGAGCGTTTATCCCACAACTGTCCTTCACAAGTCACACATACATCCATCTGAGACACTGACAGTCTCTGGAGCTGTTTGCAGTTTTTCTTCTTGACTTTTCTCACAACCTGGATCTAAATGTCGGGAGCCATGCAGTTTTAAAGTGGGAGTATCTCTTTGATACCCTATCCACTAGCACTAGTATTTAAAATGCAGTCAGCCTTTTTTAGACGGCCAAACTTGTTTTATAACACTATGTAAACTGCCATGGTCTCTCAAGCAATTTAGGAAGAGAGCAAATGACTGTTTATTGCTATAATATTGCATTTAAATGTAACTTTTTGCAACAACACTCATTTTCAAATAGCCCTTTTTCGTTGATTTTTCTTCATATTTGACACCTACGTTTTATTCTATGATAATACTGGAGCAACGAGAAACACTAAAGCAACTTATAATTATTTTTATGTCAGTTTGTCTACAGTATGTCCTTTTCTATTTTATTGTTGTTAAATTGCTTTATTCTGGAAGGCGATGTTTTCATCTGTCAATAACCAGAAAGTGGCTCTTACACTTAAAGTCCCGCTGCGAATGTCTACTTTACATTCATTACGTTTTTGCAATTCATGCTTAGAATAATTAAACGTTTCTGTTTTGTTTGGGCATAAATCTGTCACCTTTTGTTATGTTTTTGTGGGGTTTATTACACTCTCTGCAGGCGCTCCTGCTCCTGTGTTGTTAGACAATTCATTCACATCAGGCAGAGAAATGGTAACAATGGACTGAAATGCATATCTGTCTCTGTGAGGAATTGCGGTTATATGTACGTTCTCTGATAAATGTGACAAAATAAACGAATTGATGAATACAAATCTTTTAATCAGAATCCCGTTTATTTGCTATTGTACTAGGTGTACCCACAAACAAGGAATTTGTTTTGGTTTAAATGGTGCATTCATAAACAAAAAGTTAGAGGAATAGTTTGTGGAAAAGGGGCAAAAAAATTAGTATTTAAAAACAATAACTGTAAGGGAAACTTCTGCAGCAATGGAGAGTCAGGACTCAGAGAGACACGAGGAGAGTTGAAGCTTTGATGTCAAACACTGGTAGTTTATTACAAGTCAACGGCCGGAGAATTCATATCACAAGTCACAGCAGCAAAAGGTTCTGACTGCACGGGTGGGTTGTCATGTCAATTCTGCCCAGCCTCTCTCTCGATAGACCTTTTAACTAGTTTACAGAGAGTTAATGAGCATATTGGGGGAGGCGTAAACATCTGTGGAGCTTAGAAAGCCAGCGTTCCCACAGCCGTAAACCATTTTGTGACCGAGAGTTGAACTGGTTTATCAAGATAGCTGGAGCCTCCCATTCCTTAAGAGAGATAACAGAGCCAGGGTTTGGTCGTAAATGTCAACAGACAATAAGGTTAAATATCTTAGGAGTAAGGAAGAATTATTCCCTCACAATAACAACTATTATAAAAAAGAGAGAAGTATTTACACAAATATAAATACTCAAAACACTAAGTAAAAATATGACAAATACTACAATATAAAGTGGAGAGCTGTGTAGGTTTTAAATTGAGCTTAAAACTTAAGTTGTCACTTTTGTATATTTGCTGTCTGTTTTAATAGCAGCCTGCCATCATACACACTTGTATTTTTAGCTTGACACAGATTCTTGTATGCAGTTCAGCCGCAGAATAACCTTAGCTTCCTTTTATCTCTTTGATTGGCGTGCTGACAGAAAACATCAGAGCCTTCAGAGCCTCATCTGTCAGACGAGAGGAGAACTGATGTAATCTCAAAACGAACACATGTCGCTGCTTCGTTCTGGATTGAGTCGACAGTTCTGATAATAAAAACTGTGAACTCTGGTTTCTAAACTTGCTGAATCATTGTTGTGCGACCTCCTGCTTTCCTTCTTAATGGCAACATTTCGTTTAACTGCAGCGCCGTTTGAGGAGCGGTTCTGCATATATTAGCCATAAATCTATTCAGCTTTGACACTGTGGCCATCATTTAGCAATCCTTTGTCTCCAGATGTCTTATTTGCCTTCATCCTGCATTTGTTTTGGTGCTTGGCAGTTGTTTTATGCTTGTACCTGTCAGCTGTGAGAGGAATAATAAGCAGGGAAGGTTGATGGACCGTGAGGATTTCAAGCGATAAAAAGGAAAGTTAACCGATGTTGATTTTAACCCTTTCTTTTCTCTCTGCAG